ACGCAGCCCTGCGCGACCGCCGCGCCGCCGCCCGCGTGCGCGGCGTGGCGCATGCGCCGGATGTAGTGCGCGATGTTGGTGGCGCCCACGGGGAGGTGGAAAACGACGCGAAGATCGGGACAAAATCGGACCGGGATAGCTCGAAATCTCTGAGAATCGGCGGGTTTGGAGGATGTATTGGGCGCCGCGGCCGCTCCAGAGCGTTCCGGAACGCTCTGAGAGCGCTCCGGAACGCTCTGGAGCGATTTATCCCGATCCTAGCCCTGTTTTAGAGGTGGCGCGGGGGGGCCGGCCTTCTGAGAAGGGCGCGGCGGGGCTTCTGAGAAGGCAGAGAGGGCCGCCCGGCTTCCAGGAAGCCTTCTTGGAAGCCCCTGGGCCCTCCTGGGAAGCCCCCCCTGCTTGCTCAGAAGCCCCGCGGCCTTCCGAGAAGCCCACCCCCCCTCGCGCCACTCCCTCCTGGGCGCCGCCAGCGATGGCCGGCGGCTTCTCGGCCCCACGGCCCTCCTTTAAGAGGGGGACCACTTGAGATACGCCTGCCCCTGAGATCCAGGCGCTGCAATCTCTTCGCGCTGGGAGCCTCCGCCCAGATTCGGGCCCCGGGGCCCTCACGAATCGCCCCTGCACTGCTCGAAACATGCTGCATGATAAAGATGGGATCCATGGCCCTGGTCGTGATTTTGTTCGCGATGTTGCAGCGTTTCCGCAACGTCGGATCCCAAGGGACACCCTCGCGTCGCGCACGCGGCTGGAAAGTCTTTGGGCTCTTACCGACTCCGGGGGCCCTTGCCGGGCCCGTTGGCCGTGAAAACGACTGCTGCAGGACGACCAGCCGATGCCCCCAGGAATGGGTCCGAACCTGCCATGGGGAGCCAGGCCTCCTAGATGGGGTCGGAGTACTCCAGATTTCGTAATAAAGAGAGGGGGGTCTCATTTCGGTGGGGGTCTCTTCCAGGCTATCTTGGAGGGCCTGGGGGGGTCTGGGGACGATGTTTTGGAGGGTTCTCCCACGGGGGGGGGTCTGAAATGGCTTGTCTTGGAGGGTCCAGACCCCCTCCCTTTTATTACGAAATCTGGGGTAGATGGGGTCGGAGGATCGCGCCACATCGCCGATACATCGGCGACACATCACCAAAGCATTGGCGATGCATCGGCGATGCACCGGCGTCGCGTCGTCGACGTGGGCGATGCACCGGCGACGTCGCGTGGAGCAACACGGGCCCAACATCGAGCCGCATCGCCAGTACATCGGCGATACGGCGCGATCCTCCGACCCCGTTTGCTCGGATCCCATCCAGGAGGCCTAGGAGGCCTAGAGTTCCGAGGCCTCGCTTGACTCCTCCAGGATCGTCTTGGAAAGCTGTCAGGAAGCGGGGCGAAGCCGGGATCTGCTCGGACCCCTTCGAGGAGGCCTAGAATTAAGTCGGGCCTGTCCCCCTACAGGGGGATTTCGGGCGAAAAATGAGAAATACCCCAAAAAACCAAAATAGGAATAAAATGCTTGAACAAATTGTCCCCCGACGGTTTTTTTTGTTTTTTTTTTTTTTTTTTTTTTTTTTTTTTTTTTTTTTTTTTTTTTGTTTTTTTACTATTTTGGAATACTCCCCCTGTAGAGGGACAGGCCCGACTGAGGCCTGGAATCTTGTCCGCAGAAGTGGACGTCGGACTTCCACGCCAGGCCCGAAATCCGCTCGAGATCGGCATCCTCGGCCCCTGCCCGGGTCCACCCCGACCCACACTCGACCAGGATCTAGCGAGGATGCGCGGCGAGGATGCAGGGGCCTCCTGCAGCGCCATGCCGGCGCTCCCCGCGCGGGAGCGCGGCAGAACGCCGAAGGGATGCCGAGCACCGGAGGGGCAAGGGTGCCAGGGCAGGAGGAGGAGGAGGAGGCGGAGGAGGCGGAGGAGGAGGAGGAGGCGGAGGAGGAGGAGGAGGAGGAGGAGGATGAGGAGGAGGAGGAGGAGGAGGAGGGAGGAGGGGAGGAGGAGGAGGAGGAAAGCTGCCCCATCCTTCCCATCGTGGTTGGCTGCACTCTCCGCGGCGGGCCGTCTGCGGCGGCGACGAGGCGCCTCCGGGAGAGGCCCGGCGTGGACGACGCCGGAGAGCCGAGGCTGCGAACGACTTCGGGGGCGGCCAGGCGGGGGGCGCCCAAGTCGGGAGACTCTCCATGGGGGGGGATCCCATGGGGGGGCAGGAGGGGATCCCCCCCATGGGATCCCCTCCTGCCCCCCCATGGGATCCCCAGGGGATCCTATGGGATCCCCCCCCTGGGATCCTATCCCCCCATGGGATCCCCCCCCATGAAGAGTCTCCCGACCAAGAGAGTAGGGAGCCCACAAAGGACGTACGCGCCCAGCTATGTACATGAACACGGCCCCTCGATCCGCGAGACCGGCCGCGTTATACGAACATTTGCGCAATGCGTGCTCTCGAAACCAGCGTGGATTCATGTACGTGTACGTCCTTCTTTCGCTCCTGAGAGAGGGGGGGCGCAAGTCATGGCCGACGTGGACGAAGCCTGAAGTCCGAGGCTGCGAACGACTTCGGGGGCGGCCAGGCGGGGGGGCGTCCAAGAGAGGGGGGCGCAAGTCGTGTCGGGTCGGGCGAAAGGGGGGGATAGCAAAGGGGAGGTTTGAGAATCAGCTCACGTGGCTGCTTTTCCCGGCGCCTCCCGGCGCCGGGAGGCGCCCGTGTATCGAGGAATGGGCCCCTCGGTGAGGCCGAAACCAGCTGCATGCAGCAAATTTCGTAACCCCCCCTTTCCCAATCCCCCCCTTTCGCCCGACCCGATCATGGCCGGCGGCATGTGCGCGGCTCAGGGGGCGGCCGGGGACGTGATGAAACAAGAAGAGGCGCCATGACATCCGAGGAAACGCCGTGGCCTGCGCCATGAGATCCCCCCCCTCCCTTGGTCATCACCCCCCTCTTGGCCGCCCCCGACAAATGCACCATCGCGAACAATCGCGACAAATCGCGCCATTCTTCGAGCCTGATCGATCCGTGAAGATCCCGGGGCTCGAAACTGGGCGAAAACGCCGGTTATGAACAAATGCAACGCCCAGACTCAAGGGGAGAGCGCCAAGAGGGGGCCTCCGTGACGCATCCTTTTAGGACACCGCCAGTCCTTCACCTGCTGCCAAAAGGTCTCCCGCACTGGGAGCTCCACCGCGGGGGGCCTCCTACGGGAACAGGACAAACAAACGGCATGCGAACATGGGCGTCCGGAGGCCCGCGCGCATCCCTTGGGGGGCTAGCGCTGGGCCCCCTCCTGAAGCGAAACCAGGATCAGGACCAAACATGTAACAGAAGTGGGATCTCTGAGCTCCAGCAATTTTGGAGGGATGTACTTCTCGGGCGCAGCGGCGTTCTCAGATCGGGGAGACGTAAGACCCGGTTACGGGGGACTCGGAAATCCCCGACGAGGTCGTCAAAAAAATGACGAGGCCGAGCCTGCATTTTGACGAGGCCTCCCGCTGCAGACATCCAACGAAACTCCTACTCGTCAAAATCCGAGTCGCGGTCGTCAAAAAACGATGGCGAACCCGAGTCCTGGCAAACCCGGGTCTTACGCTCCCCCGATCAGAGAGTTCTGGAACGCTCCGGGAGCGTCACGGCACGCTTTGGAACGATAGATCCCTGTCCTGGCCCCGCCCGACCCGTGCCCCGGTGCGGTGGGCCCCCCTTCCTCTCGGCACGCCCGAGATGGGTACGGAGCAATCTTGGGCAGCAAGTGTAGTCCCGAACCGACGGCGGCCGCTGTTGGGCCAGCGACCTTCCGCCTAAGAACGACTGCGTCCGCGGCGACGCCGACAGCGAGTCCTGTTCATAGCGGGCAGGAGCTGCTGTCCGTCTCCGGCGGGCGGTACCGGGGGGGGACCCAGATTGGGGGTGAAGAAGAGGGCCCCACAGGGGCTCTTCAGGGCCTCTTTTGGGCACCAGCTGGCTCCAAGAGGAGCCTTGAAGGGCCCCTTTGCGGCCCTTTCCTTCCCCCCCCATGTGGGTCATTGCCCATTTGGACAGGAACTGCTGTCCGTCTCCGGACCCGCTCCTTCCGCACCCCTCTCGATCGTACCGACCCCCTGGCGCGGGGAGCGCGCCAGGGGCGGCGCCGGAGGCGCCTCCAGGGGGACACCAGAGACATCCGCGCGGACCTCCCCCGAGAAAGCTCCATGTTTCTAGGTCGCCCAGCTTCGCGCATCGCGCCCCGTGGCGCTCGGTGATCTGCGCGCCCTCGCGCCGCCCTCCTGTGGAGATGGGCGAGCGCTCTGATCCAGGCCGCGGCGCGCAAAGCGCGGCCATCCTCGCGCACCTGAAATGGGCCTAGGCCTAGCGAGTTGCGCCGTTCCCAAGCCTCCGACGACGTGGTTGGTTCGGTGCGCGGCCCCAGGAGCTCTAGGCCACTTCCCCCTGGGGCAGTGCTTCGCCCTGGATCCGTCTCTGATAATCCTGGGGTCCGAGACCACGGCCCTCCAGAACCGTCGGAGATCCGGGTGTCTGTGCCGTCTTGCTGTCCCTCCATCCCTGGGATGCCATCGCGAACATAAGCATAAACTGCAATGTTCGTTGAAGCTTCTCTTGGTCATGAGCTTCATGCTTCCGCCGGTACACTTTTGCTAGATTCTGAGGATTTGAAAGCACCTCTACTTTTTCGTGTGCGCCGCGGAAGGCCTCCATGGTTTGTGCGTGTGTCATGACGATGGTTGCTCGTGTGCGCAATGAAGACCTGGACTGTTCTTGGTGTGTTCCCTGCAACACCTAGAAATCTGTGTCTGAAAATCATCGATTCTTTTTGTTGGTGTGCGCCATGAGCCGCCGCGATGTCTTCGCGTGCGGCATGCCATACCTCGATGCAAATCTGCGTGCGCTACAGGAGATTACGATGGCTTGTCTTCCCCCATGAAAGTCCACGAGAAGTGGCGACCAACCCAAGGATTGGCGGGCGACCTGAAAGCTAGAACTGGGTGGGCGGCGGGCGGCCACCCCGAGAACTGGCGGGCGACCATCCCGAGAACCGGCGGGCACCGGCCCCAGAACTGGCAGTGCGAGCGGCGCCCCGCGCGAAAGGCCTCGACGACACGTGGCATCTTCATGTGCGCGACGTGTTTCATGTGGGAAATCAGATGTGATTCATGCGCCGTCTTGCGGGTGACTGCCCGGGCGGCTAGGCCCCAGGCGGCTACGCCCTGGGCCCTAGGCCCCAAGGCCGTGGGCCCTGGGCGGCTCGGCCCCAGGCCCCTGGGCCCCTAGGACCTTGGGCTAGGGCCAAGGGCCCAGGGCTTAGCTGCCAGTCTAGGCCCTAGGCTACGGCTTGGACTAGGCTGTAGGGCGAGCGCAAGGGCTAGGGCAGCCTGAAGCCTAAGCCCTGGGGCCTACGCCTGGGGCCCAGGGCTGAGGGCCTGGCAGCCAATTGCCGGCGGCTAGCGTCGGGCTTAGGGCCGAGGGCCCAGGGTCAGGGCTCGGGCCCGGGTCGATCAGCGAACGCCGAGGTCGGCAATTCGCACCGAGGCAAATACCGAGGTCAACATCGAGGCCCGAATAAAACGCCGAGGTGAAAACCGAGGTCAAAATTGAGGTCTGGTTAAAACGTCGAGGTACACGCCGAAGTCACAACTGAGGCCCGATTAAACCGCCGAGATGAAATACCGAGGTCGAACATTGGGTCCAGTTAAAAAACCGAGGTGAACGCCGACGCCAAAATTGAGGCCCGACTGAAACGCCGAGGTGCAGACCGAGGTCACAGTTGATGCTTGACTCAAGCGCAGAGGTGAACACCGATGTTAAAATGGAAGTCGAACCTGAAATCACTCCTGAAGTACAACAATTGGGGGTCGGCCGGGTCTGATTGGCGCGCCCTGAATACCCCCCCCCGCCGCCCCCTGCGAGCGGCGCGCCCTGAGTCCCCCTCCATTGCGCGGCGCGCCCTGAGTCCCCCTCCACTGCGCGGCGCGCCCTAGGTCCCCCCTTGTTCTGCGCGCGGCGCGCCCGAAATACACCTCCCTCCCGAAACCGCACCGCGCGCCCGACGGATTCCTGAAACTGTCTTGTTGAAGTCCCTGGATAACATTCGCAAGGGCCCACCAGGATTCCACGGGATCCCAAAGCAAATCCTCCAGGGCGCCTGAAAGCTTATGGAAATTCCTGAGGATTCTCACGAAGATGCCGTTGGAATCCCTCCAGAATCCGTCTGGAATCCTTCAGGGTTCTTGAATCCGTAGGAATGGAATCGAAATCTTGCAGAGCCCCTCAGGAATCCATCAGGAATCCCCAAGGAAGCAGCAGGCATGCCTCGGGAACTCTTCGCTAATGCCAGATGGCCTCCCCACTAATCACAAAGGAATGCTTGGGGAACTTTTGACTACCTCCTCATTCAACCCAAGGGTCTGCGACCCAGAACTGGGAATTCCTAAATTTTCCTGCGCGCTGCCATTGAATTGCCTCGCATTGTGGCGGCTGGCGGGTGGCAGGCGCGTGGTGCGAGGTTCTGGTGGCAGCGCTCTCCCTGTTCGCTTCCAAGCGAACGGATGACACAAGCAACCGACGCAACATGCTCGAGATGCATCGAGTGTTAAGGCCCAGTAAAGCGACCGGCGTGCTGACCCCCCCCCCCTTCGCGACAGGAGGTGTGTCGCGCATTCGTCGCCCGTGCGCCGCCCGTGCGTCGGCCGCCGAAAAGGCCAGCCGTCCTCTCGAACGTGCACGTCGCCCTCGCAAGGGGCAATTTGCCATCGAGGCCACTGCGCACCACCCCAAAAACATCCAGGCCCAGCCCACTGCCCCGAAGCAACTCTCGAGGCTGTTGCCTGCACTCCGCAAGAGCCATCGAGACCCGCGCGCCGTCCCCGAAGTGCGTCGAGGCTGTTGCATGCACCCTCCTCCTCCTCCTCCTCCTCCTCCTCCTCCTCCTCCTCCTCCTCCTCCTCCCTCCCCCCACCCTCCTCCTCCTCCTCCTCCTCCTCCTCCTCCTCCTCCTCCTCCTCCTCCTCCTCCTCCCTCCTCCTCCTCCTCCTCCTCCTCCTCCTCCCCCTCCTCCCACCCTCCTCCTCCTCCTCCTCCTCCCCTCTCCTCCTCCTCCTCCTCCTCCTCCTCCTCCTCCTCCTCCTCCTCCCTCCTCCTCCTCCTCCTCCCTCCTCCTCCTCCTCCTCCTCCTCATCCTCCTCCTCCTCCTCCCCTTCTCCTCCTCCTCCTCCTCCTCCTCCTCCTCCTCCTCCTCTTCCTCCTCCTCCTCCTCCTCCTCCTCCTCCTCCTCCTCCTCCAGAATACCATCGAGGCCCCGCGCGCTGGATTGAGGTCATTGCAGGTGCGCCCAGAAACCATCACAGCAGTGCAGCATGGCTTCTGCGTGGAACACCAAACACCATCGAGGGGTCAAACTTCGCGCACGGGAATGGGCGAGGTGAGCCTCTGCAGGACTAGCAGGGTCATGTAGCGAGGGGAACCTCTGCTCTGTCATTTTTTGTGGCAAGATGTGCGTAAAGGTGGCCGATAGCATGCCAGCTCAATCCTGGGCGGGGGCCTCTCTGGGCGCGGCCGTGGCGTCGGCGGGGAGTACGCCCGGGCGGCCTCCAGCTGCGAGAGGTGGGCCCTCCTCTGGAGGCCTCTCAAAATTTGGTCCGAGCAGGTGGGGTCGGAGGATTGCGCCGCATCGCCGCTGCACCGCCAGTGCACCGGCGGTGCGGCGACGACGTCGGCAATGCAGCGGCAGCGTCGGCGTGGAGAAACTCGGGCTCCACATCAAGCCGCATCGACGGTGCATCGGCGATGCGCGGCGGCGACGTCGGCGATGCAGCGATGACGTCAGCGTGAGAAAAATCGAGCTCCACATCGAGCTGCATCGCCGGTGCCTCGGCGATGCGACGCGAGCCTCCGACCCCGTTTGCTCGGACTCCCCAAGACCTCCGACGTCATGATTCTCAGAACGTCGACCCCCAAAGGTCTCGACCCATTCCCCAGATTTTTTTTTTTTTTTTTTTTCATTCCGAGGCCCAGTGACGGCCCCCAGAGGCTGAAAATAGCGCAGAACCTTCCGCGCCAATGTTTTCATGACGCGAGGGTGTCTGGGTCCGTTGGGGCGGCCTGGATCCTCGCGGCCTCCCGGGCTGCGCTGTCTGCAGAGCTCGCCGCCGCCACTGAGCGGAGCGCCAGGTCGCGGGAGGCGGCGGCCTCGGTGACGGCGTCCTGGCTCAGGCGCGCCCACCTTGCGGCCATGCTAAGGGAGGTCACCACGCGGGTGGTCGCCACGGCCCCGAGGAAGCGCCATTTCCTGGAGGACGTGGGCCCCCAAGAGCACTCCAGAGCCTTCCAGGACGAACCCAGACGTCCACAAACCGCCTCGAGCTTCATTCCTGGAACCTCGATGCCGATTTCCAGGAGGAACTGGTGAGCCCCCCAGTGGTGACCCCCCTTGGCACTGCCCGACGCCTTGCGGCGACGGCGTAGGGCTCCGGGGCGAGGGGCAGTATGCAGGGGGCGCGCTAACCCCGGCCGGCGCTGACCCAAATCTCCGGCGATCTGATCTGTTCAATCCCGGCGTTCTTCTCTGGTTCGTTGGCATCTTGAGTCTGGTATTGGGCCCCGAGGCATTCAAGTATGGGCCGGGACCTTCGGGGCCGCGCATTGAAGCAACTCACATCGTCTGATACCTGGGAAACGGGGTTCCCAAGCTTGGGCTGGCCACGAAGCAGATCCCCAAACTGGGTGAGCGGATGGAGGGGAGGAGTGGTCGGGCCCCGCACGGCTCCCACACCCAGGTCAGCCAGAGGGGATCAAGGAGAATTTTCTGAACCCCGTCAGCGCTGACCCCCGTTACGCGTGCCCCGAGTATGGCCTCCCTGTTCGGGACCGGCTCGGTCCAGTCTGCCAGCTCGTCCTGGTCCTCAAACAACCCACCGGTCACCGTGTGGAAGAAGAACGACGTTCCGCGCATGGCCAACACTACCCCAGGATCATGGCAAGGCCGGGCAAGCGAGGCTTCATGATAGATGAAGCAACCTCCCCCGAGTCGCAATAGATACGGATGCGGAAGAGGAGGAGGAGGAGGAGGGGATAAGTATCAGATATCGTGTATCCATGCGCTGAGATTTCCACCGAATGCGCTGCTGATGAATAACAGCCCTACCGCGGCACACACCCAACAGCTACTGCAACGCGTTTTTTTTTTTTTTTTTTTTTTTTTTTTTTTTTTTTTTTTTTGTATATATATATATATATATATCTTCACAAACGCACACACACGGGTCCGTCTTGCTTCGAGTCATCGTCACTGCCCGCTGTAAGCTGTTCGCGGTATGTTAGCGTTCCAGGATGAGAAAAGAAGCGAAGGGGGCGAGGATGGGAAACTCCTTCTCCTCCTCCTCTTCCCTTACTCCTCCTCTTCCTCCTCCTCCTCCTCTTCGTTATGCCTGGAGTGACAACGCTCAAAGAAACACCGCAGACGCGAGCCCTCACAACGTAAGCCCTCATACGAGACCGCGCAACGCGAGCATCTTCTCGCCACTAACGGTGACCTGAATACATATAGTGCGCCGTGTGATGGAATCATCAGACGCATGTTCGATGATGGTCCGCCTGACCTTGTATTGCAACACATCCAAATCTTCCGACGGGGCCCCTTCAATTGCGATTGCGTGCCTCTTATCCTGACAACTTGTCCAGCATTGCTCAGACGACCCCAAGAGAGCCCAAGATGGCCCCAAGGTGTCTGCAAAACGGCCCAATATGTATCGAAGAAGGCCCCAAATGGTTCCAAGATGGCCTTAGACGGTCCAAGAGGTCTCAAGAGGGCTCCAGCAGAAACTCCAGGAGGCCGACATCTCTTATGACCGTTCGTTGTTTTCCAATGATTCAAAAGTTGTGTTTTTTTTTCTCAGGTTTCTGGCACTCCAAGACGGGCCCCATATAAGAGGCCCGCAAGACGGCCTAAAAGGCCCCCAGGACGGACCCACAGATCTCCAAGACGGCCCTCCATCGTCCACAGAGGGATCCACGACTGCCCAGAGAGGCTCTCACAACAGCCTCTGAAGGCTAAGAGGTCCCGTAGAGGCTCCCATAGCCCGCCAAGATCGGCCTAAGATGGCCCGAGAGGCCCGCAAGATGGCCCAAGAGGGGGCCCCAAGTCGACCTAACATGCCCCCAAGACGGACCCACAGATCTCTAAGACGGCCCTCCAGCGCCCGACGAAGGATCCACGATTGCCCAGAAAGGCCCCCAAGACGGCCTCCGAAGGCCAAGAGGCCCCAAGAGGCCCCAGGAGGAAACCTTCAAGAGGCTGTTCAGAGGCCCCCCCAAAGCTCCCAGGAAGCCCCTAGAAGCCACAAGATGGCCTCAAGAAGCCACCTTCTTCAACTCCTCCTCCCCCACGTCCTCCCCCGCTCCATCCCATCCCCATCAACTTGTTTTTCCCCTCCCAAGTCTTTCCCCAAGGGGTTCCACAACGGCTGGAGTAACACATAGTCAAACAGCTTGGCTAGACCTCGGCCTAACATTTGGCCGCATGGGCGTTTCAAAGAGGCACTGTGCGGCGGTGATTGGTCGCAAGCTCTTCGATCCGCCGGACCCTTTTCCTTGCAAGATGGGTTTTTGGCAAGCGGAATTGTTCGGCCCTTCTCTGTAAAATTACTGGTGGCTTCTGGCTCAACCCGCCGGCAGCCCAAGACGGCCCCACTCCCACCAGCCCCCCGGGCGTGAGCGGTGTAGGGAGTCTCCTCTTCCAAGCCCCTTCTTCCCATTTGGGGAGGGGGTGATCACCCTTCCCTATTGACAAACACCCCCTCCCCCGCAGGACAGGCAGCCAACAACGAACCCATGCCGACCTCCTTTCCGCCAGCACCTCCAGGAGAGCCCAACATCGAATCGATAAGTCGGATCGGCGATCGAGATGGATCGGATCGGCGGAAATCGGCAGCCGAGTCGGGAGAAGTCGAATCGGCGGAAATCGGCAAGCTAGTAGGCCTCGATTGAGAAATCGGAAACCCACATCGGAATCCGAAATCGAATCGAGTCGGAGGAATGGAAATGAGCCCTGCATCTCTGCCAACAATGGGCACAAACAAATGCATTACACCAGAGAATAAATCTCAATCAGCGGACTCCCTGCCATTGTTCGCATGCGCTCCACGCCTGCTCTCTCGTTGTCTCTCTCTCTCTCTCTCTTTCTCTTTCTCACTCTCTCTCCTTCTTTGACTGATGTCTTTCTATAATCTAACAAACAGTCTCTGTTTAGTTGATCTGCCCTCACACATTGCTCTGCACCCTACAGTCCCAGACCTGCTCTCAACTAGACCTTTATACATCTAAGTATACACACGAGTGCTTGCAGATGTGTGTGTGTATGTGTGTGCCTCTCTCTCTCTCTCTCTTTGTTTGTTTATATCTGAGAGAGCGTGATCCACCGCCGCTTTACTGTGGAAAATTGCCAACCTTTTTCCCGGAACCGGGGGTCTCCCCCCCCCCCCCCCTCTGAAAATCCCCCCCCCCCCCTGCCGGAACCCCTCCCCCCCCCCCCCCCCTTCCTCCCGGCAACCCCCCCCCCCCCCTAACCCCCCCCCCCCCCCCCTCCCCCTCGAAAACCGGGGGGGTCACTACCGGTTCGAACCCCTCCCCCCCCCCCTCCAGATCCGGAAAACCGGGGGGGGGTCACTACCGGTTGGAACCCCCCCCCCCCCCCTCGAAAACCGGAGGGGGGTCACTACCGGTTCGACCCCCCCCCCCCACGCACCGCCAGCAAACGACTCCCGGTCCCTACCACCGCTCGCATCACATCCCCCACTGTTGTTCCCAGCACCACTGTCCTCACCACCACTGTCCCCACTGGTTCCACCACCGTCCCTATTGTCCCCACCAATGCCCCCACCACTGTCGCACTGTCCCCACTGTTCCCACAACTGTTCCCACCACGGTTCCACTCTCCCCACTGTCTCCACGGACCCAACCACTGCCTATCCCCATTGTCCCCACTGTCCCACTGACTCCTCCGCTGTCCCACTGAGCTGTCCCACTGTTTCCACCACTGTCCCCACTGTCCCCACCACTGTCCCCACTGTACCTCTGTCCCATTGTCCCACCGCCGTCCTCGCCACCGCCTTTACCAGTGTCTCCACCACCATTGTACCCTCCACTGTCCCAGTGTTTCCACCTCATTCCCACTGTCCCCACACCACTGTCCCCACCACCACCGTTCCCACCACTGTCCACTGTCCCCCCTGTTCCCACCATTGTCCCCACCACTGTCCCCACCACTACCGTCCCCACCACTGTCCCACTGTCCCCCCGCTGTCCCCACCACTGTCCCGCTGTCCCCTCACCACTGTCCCCACCAACACCGTCCCCACCACTGTCCGCACCCCCACTCGGTTTTCGAGGGGGGGGGGGGTTCGAACCGGTAGTGACCCCCCCCCTTTTCATGATGAGCTGGGGGGGGGGGGAGGGGTTCGAACCGGTAGTGACCCCCCCGGTTTTCCGGTGGGGGGGGGGGGGGAGGGGTTCGAACCGATAGTGACCCCCCCCGGTTTTCCGCCAGCAGCGGTAGAACACGCTCTTTCTTATATCTCTCTCTCACTCTTTTTTTTGTCCTCTCTCTCTCTCTCCATGTCCCTCTCCCTCTCCCCCTCCCTGTTTCTTTCTCTCTCTCTCTCACTCTCTCTCTCCCCTTCTCTCTTTCTACCCAACTTCGCCCTATGCTCTCTGATATGTAGTCCCTATATGTACGATAAACCCTCTCACTCTGACCTCCCATTCCATCATTCAATCTTATATCTGGCAATGTTCGCAACTACTCTCTCTCTCTCCCTCGCTCTCGCTCTCTCTCTCTCTCTCTCTCCAATCCCTAGGGTCAGGCGCTTGGTCACAACCGAGACACCCCAAACCCCTGAACCGTTGCCAAGAATACCAGGAACCGGGAAACGGGAAATTCACCAAACCTTTCACTGTCTGGCACCCCGGAATCGAGAACCAAGAGCTCAAGAACCTAACCGCCAACCGAACTGAGAACCCGGGAACCCAACACCCTGGAACCGGGAACTCGGGAACCCATCAGACATTGCATAGCTGGAACCCTTAAACCAAAAATCCGGGAACACATCGAGATCGGCCCGAAACCTGGAACCGAGAACCCGGGAACCAGGAACCCAGCAGCCTACCGATATCGGCCTGGGACTTTCGCCGAATCCTTCAGTCTCCGCGAGGACCCCGTCAGTGCAAGCACTAGTTGGGGAACTTTGCCTCCAAATCTGGTGCATGCGCGGGCGCACCGCGAGCCCTTTGCATTGGTTTTATCAGGGACGGTGGGAAATGCCTCATGATACTTGCTGCACGCAGGCCAAAAATCTGCATCAGAAAACAATGGAATATATACACTTTGCCTGCAAATCTGGAGCATGCGCGGGCGATCCGTGACCACTTAGCATTGGTTTGGAAAGGGACGGCGGGGAGGTCCACCTCGTAGTGTTTGCTGTGCGCAAACCAACCATCCCTGCCCAAAACGCAATAAAACATACACCTTGCCTCCAAGTCTGGAGCATGCGCGGGCGCCCCGTGACCACTTCGCATGGTTTCCGATAAGGATGCTCGGGTGTTACTTGTGTGCTGGGAGGGCGGGTGGGAGTGAGCGAAACGGCCTGTGCGTTGTGGGCAGGGGATGTTTTGATCACCGTTCCCTACTGATCAAACGCCCGACCCTAGGCGACAGGCAGCCAAACCGAACCAATGACCCCACCCTCGAACCATCACTGTCAAAATATCCACTGCGTGGACCTCTCCATATGTGCATATCAGATTTGTGTCGCTTCTCGCTGAAGAACTCTGTCTGTGAGCTTCTGGGTGTGCGAGCGAATCGGTGTGGACGACGGGTGCGACAATGAAGACGGCGACAGCGACGACTTCGGTGATTTCAGTAGGCGTCTTCCAGGAGAGATGCGGGAAGCACACGTG